GGTGAGAATGGGGAGCGGGGGAAGGGGATCCCTGGAGACTGAGGCTCTGCCTGCCAAGACCCTGCACTCACTTGGGCCGTGGGGTACAGCCCAGTTGGTGCGCGCACCTCGTTGCCCCAGCCCACCCTTCACCCAGCCTGTGCGCGCTCGCTCGGCTCCTAGCAATTACGTAAGGCGTAAGGCGGCCTGCGGCGCGCGCGGGAGTGGCCGCCTTTGTCACTGCGATCCGCCTCGGCAGCCGCCCCGCAAGTATTAATAACCCGAGGCGCCTTGGCTGCGCTCGCGTGTGTGGATCGGCGTGTGGATCTGCGCAGGGGCAGTTGGAGGGACAGACGCCCCGCCCCCGCCTCCAGCGCGCTGTCCGGGGTATGGGAAAGACGACGCTGCGTCCCCCAGAACCCAAGGGATCTGATTGCAAACTCTAAAGCAAAGGTTCTTAATGCCGGCTTTTATCACACTCCCTTGGACAGCTGGCGGGCACACAGGTCGCACCACAAACTCTGCTCCGAGCTTGGACTAGAGCAGCTCCCTCCAGCCACTTGAAAGGGACACTCTGGCTGGCTCCTGTTTCCCTGGGTCCTAGGCTGGCAGGTGACTTCCCCTGCCAAATCCACAACCACAGTGGGCAGCGGCCAGCAGCCCCAGTCCCCATCAACCAGAGATCGAGGACCACCTGTGGCTGCGGGCAGGACTGTCAGGGTCCCTGTCTCCAGGGGTCTGTGACCTGAATCAAGGCATGGAACTCAGCAGAACTCAGTTTCCAGGCCTATAAAATGGCACTCAGAACGATACCAGCCTTACTAAGGTTAAATAACATTCAAGATTGGAAAGCACCTAGCTGGGCCACAGGCATGAAAGCGCCCCTGGTGTGAAACCAGGCTGCCCAGCACGGGAGGTCTTCAGCTTGGCCCTAGTCTGGGTGGGACTCTGCAGCCCAGAGGGTGTCCAGTGGGCTGCTGGCCGAATGGACCCTGAGCTTTGGGTGTGAGGTTCCCACGGCTCCTCCCCCAGCTGGGGATGAGGCTTTCCCTGTAGACAGCTACACACTCTCCTCCCCCACCATTCTCATCCCGGATTTCAGTGAGTCAGGAGGAGCCCACGGCGCAGGCACCTGTCCGCTGCATTCCAGCCCCACTACTGCGTGTCAGCATGACTGCCCTCTTTCCATGTGACGGATGAGTGTCTTGGGGCTCAGAAAGGCCATGCAATTTTCCAAAGTCCCCAGACCTTGTTAGCAGAGGCTCAGGGCCTTGCCACTCAACCTGAGATGGCCTAGTGCCCCACAGGAATTGGGAGAGGGTCGGTCCTGGGCTAGACACCCCCTACTCCTCCTCTGGGAAGACCTGACCTCCCTGCTTGTGCCCCTTCCCCAATAGTTCTCTTTCCCACAGGTAAGGAGCTGAGTGACACTCCTTGGTCTCAGAGCAGCTACATCCACGAGCCTGGTGGGGATGAGTCACCCAGGGAGGTGTGGGAGGAGGAAGAGGTTGGGTCAGTCTCTCCAGGGTAGCGGGAGGGAGGCAGCTGTGAGGGGAGTCCGCCTGGGGTCCTCCAAACCGAGCAGAGCTCAGGACTACAGGAGGGGAAGACCCAGGGGACTCCCTACAGCTTCAGCAGAAAGGAAGTGGAGGGCGGGGGTGGCAGTGGCAGCAGACTGGGACCTGGAAGGAGTCAGAAAAGCCCCATCCTCTGCCTGACTCTGTGTCCCCAGAGGTGGCTGCTTCTACCCGGGCCAAGATGGTGCTTGTCGCACCAGCCATCTCCCCTGGTTTGACAGCCCCAACCCCAGAATCACCCTCTAGCAGCAGTGCCCAGAGCTTTCCATGCCCCTCCTTCTGGGTGAGCTCATAATGGCCTCAACAACTAGGGAACCCCTCTGTAAACTACTACTAAGATCTGCAAGGTCAGCCCATTTCACAGATAAGGAAACTGAGGCTTAATGAAGCAAAATCCCATAACCAGGATTTGGATCCAGGTCTGCCAGCCCCAAATCCAAGGGCCAAACCACAAAACACCTCTGAAAACATCTTCCTCCTGTCTGTGGAGACCCTGTGCCTGGAGAGAGGGTCCTGGCTGAGATCTGAGTCCACAGGGAGGCGCTGGCCAGCTGTTCCCCCAGACTCTCTCCTCCATGTGATGCTAAGCACGTGTCTGAAATCCAGTCCCATCCTCCTCCTCCTCCTCCCTCTGGGATTCCCAATCCACAAGTGGTTCTGGCCACCTACGCTGGCAGTCCTTGTCCCTCCCTGGCTCCCACTCCTCACACCCACCTTCAGAAGCATAGACACACAGCCTGCGCATGACACTCCATCACGCCAGGGCTCGAGGAGGCGCTACCACCCCGGCAAGGGAGCCTGAGACAGATGGAGTGGCAGCTGGTCCCCACTGGCGCTGGCGTAGGTGGCTGGTGGGGCCTGACCTCCGCCTGCTGGCTCCACACCTGCCCCACCCCCACACCTGGGGCTTTCAGCAGCTGCCTGGAAGAACAGGAATCTTCGCTTCCAGTTTGCAAGCCTTTTTATCAAATCACCTCACTTGACTCTCGCAAGCTGCGCAAGGCAGGTATTTCTCCAATTCCATTTTCCAGGGGCAGCAGAGGGTCACACAGCAAGAGAGGAACACAGCTGATGTCCCAGCCCTCTGTCTTGCCCTCTTAATGTTCTTCTTTTTTAAAAATGAAACTGGAGATTAAACCCAGGGCTTTTGCTCCAAGTTGCATCCCCAGCCCTTTACATTTTCTGATACAAGGTCTTGTTTAGTCACTAAATTGCCCAGGCTTGATTTGTGCTTGCAATCCTACCTCAGCTTCCTGAAGTGCTGGATCTACAGCTGTGGGCCACCACACCAGGCCTCTATTACTGTTCTTTCTCTGCAAATAGCCAGGACTCCTGGTTGTCAGCATGCAGCTAGGGAGGCTAGCTCTCGTACTGTGCCTGGCGGGAAGACGTAGCCTAGAGGCTCAGGGTGAGGCCTGCTCTTTAGCTCACTGTAGAGAAGCCTGCACGAAAGAGATCAGGAGGCTTCACTGGGTGCCCAGTGTGCAAGGGAGGGTCTCACTTGCTCCCTAGCTCCCAAGTATTTTTTCCAACATGGAAGAGGCTGCCGTGGTGGTAGTGAGCACTCCATTCCTAGCAGCAAGCAAGCAGAAGTCAGGGAGGAGTTGATGAAGGAAACTAAAGGAAGGAGACTCAGGCGGTGGTAGAACCTGGTGTGCATAACCTTTGAACTCCAGGTGTCTTGATGCAATGTCCTTGGTCCCCCAAGGCCACCATCTGTCACTGTGAGCTGTTTCCCTTGCAGCTCTTGAATTGGTAGATGCCTAACTGTCTCCCAGGAAGCCAGGAGCCCTTGATGGACAATGTCCTGTTCCATCCCAGCACCCAGCACCCAGCACCCAGCACCCAGCACCTTGGCCTGATCCATGCTCCAGCTTCCTACCAGTGGGCCTGGAAACCCACACCAGGGTGCACACTCCAGGGCTCAAGTCTGCACACACCCGATGCCATGGTGGTTGTGAATCCCTCTCTGGCTTCTGCTTTCATGCTGTTAGTGACAGGGAGCTTCCTGCTGCTGTCTCCGAAATCCCTCCCCTTGGCCTGAAGCGCACATACTGTGAACTAACTCAGTCACTGTTCTCACCAGTCAGGTGCTGGGCTGTGAGTAGAGCTGTTGGCTCAGTGGGATGTGAGCTTGGTCACTTTAGTAATCAGGTTGGGGGACAGTCATTGAGTGCTCAAGGGGAGCCAGGCATTGCTCCCACTTCCTTCAAAGCACCTTGCCAGGTCAGCTCAGCCAGGGCCTGGGAAGTCTGCCGGGCACTCCAACTCCGGGGCCTGGCGTGGAGTTTGTGTTCCATGAGCCTGGGCTGTGGCTGTTAACTGCGAGATCTCCCAACAACAGTAGGGGCTTCCTATGGCACGCCACCCTCACTTTGTAGATGAGGAAACAGGATGTGGAGAGGTTTGGCAACCTGCTTGCCAGAGGCTGCATGGTCCCTAATAGGCACAGGCAGAGGCAGGCTTGGAACCAGGCAGCTGTACCGGGCCTGCTCCTTAACCCTGGGGGAACTGGTGCAGACCCAGGCCCAGGCTCAGGCCCAGGCCCATCTGGTTGCTGAGCCTCCTCCCCATTGTTTCCTCACCTTGTGAAATGGAGCATGTCATCCTCAGCCCTGCTTTCCTCTTCCCTCTGCCCAGCCCCCTCCAGGGCCACTGTGGCTGCCATCAGACCAGGTGACAAGATCCCAGTAGTGGCAAAGAAAGCATGCAAATTTTTAGCCGCATGGGACTGACTGAAGCCTGGAATCTGACAAGGGTGTTTATGGGAGCCTGGAGAGCCTCTGAGCCCCCAACCCCAGTCACACCCCAACAGCAGGTACAGAGATAAAAGGCTGGCAGCTGTGCCCACCAGTGGCAGGAGCACCAGATAAAATCAGCCCAGTGATAGTTCAAATTATTACAGCTATGTCAGCATTGGTGTGGTTAGATTTTAGGGTGGAGACAAGAGGTGGTGTGGCAGGCTCTTATAATTTGGGTGTCATGGATGGAGGGTGGGCCCCAAGCAAATGAAATCAAATGTTAATGAACACTGTAAAATGAGACTAATCTTATTGACCTCCTAGGTTGTAGTGCTCACAAATGAGTCCACACTCGTATTTCCTTAAGCTCTCCACATCCAGCACCAAGTAGGGGCTCAGCAAACGGTGACCATTGTCACAATCGCATTATTTCACACTCAGCTGTCGCTACCGACCAAAGCTGTCCCTTCCGTTGTAGACATGGCCTAGGCCAGGTTATTAAAGACAGGGTGATCTGCCAATTCGTGGGGTGTTGATAGTTCCGGTAGAGGGGCGCTGTCTGAGGAACTTGCCAAGAAAGTGCTCCCAGGGAGGGCTCCAGGGTGTCCCTTTCTGTCCCAGGCTCGGGTCCCAAGTGCTTCCGGCGCGAGGCTGCGCCTCCCGTAGGCGGCTCCAGGAAAACCTCGGCCGGAGCTCTGGGCTCGCAGTCCCCCAGCCCCTCTGCGCCCGCCCCGGCGGCCACCTCTGGGGCGAGGCAGCCCGGCGCGTGGGAGGGGACGGTGCGCCATTGGCTTGCGCACCGAACTAGAGGAGGGACCTGCGGGCCAGACTCGGGCGAGCCCGGAGGCGCAGGAGTCCAGCCCTCCCTGCCCTGCCCTGGCCGCCCGGTGCGGCGGCGCGATGTGAGGCGCTGAGGGCCGCAGGTCCGCCCAGCACTGCCGTCAACCCCGAGAGCTCGGTGACTTCCGCGCCGGGAACGTAAGTCCGCGCCCCGGCGCCACCGCACGCCTCGCACTTCCCCGCCGCTGCCAGCACTGCCTGCGCTGCGCACGCAGCCCGTGGACTCCTCCGGCCGTGGGGACAGCGGGGTCCCCGCGCTCGCAGCCGGGCGCCAAAACAGGAGAGCACCTGCGGGAGCTTCTGGCCGCGCGGGACGCCGTCAGCTGCCCCTTGCGCGCCTCGATCCCCTGACTCCGTTTCCTCTGTCCAGGCTTCTGCCTCCACCACCTTCTTCCTTGGGGACTGTTTATTGTCCCTCGGGCTCGCGCGCTCTGTTTCGGCGCTGAAGAGAAACAGCCTGAAGTAGTTTGCTCTGGCCGGCCGGGGTCTCCGCCGCCGGCGCTCGGTTCTCGGTCCCCTCCCCCTCTCCTGCCGCACCCCCTCCCGCCTTTGTTTCCCGGTCTGAGGAGCGCGCGGTGCAAACTTGCGAGTTCCCGGGGCTGCGCCCCCGCTGGGCCACAGAGTGAGGCGGTGGCGGAGTTTCCACCGCCTCCAAGTCTGGCCTGACCTCCTGGTGTGGGGGCGGCGGCCAGGCTGGAGGAGCCCCAGGATCAGAAAGTGGGGGAGTGTCTAGAGCCGAGAGGTAAGAGAGCTCGGAGGGGGAGGGGCAGGCCCGGCGCGACCTGAGTGCCGGGGCTGGAAGGGAGGTGGCAGAGGGCGGGCCGCGCCTGAACCCCAGCCTGGGTTGGGCAGGAGGCGCAGGTGCAGCGCGACGACCCCCATCTCCTCGAGCCGCTCGATCAGCGGAAAGGTAGCCGCGTGGGGCCGTGGGCATGGCGCAGGGTGGCTTAGGGCCGGAGCAGCGCGCGGAAACGCCAGCGCCCACCCGGGGGGCGCGGCTGAGGAATGGTCAGATCGCCCCCGGCCGGCCTTGCTGGGGTCCGCTCCCTTCGCTCCCTTCCGTCGCCCCCACCCAGTCGCGCGCTCTTGCTGCCTCCTCGCCGTCCAGGGGCCAAGGATTTCTTCGCCGAGCGCCTCAGGCGGGGGTAGGAGGCGGGGAGGCCGAGAACCCAGGGCTGCCCCAAACCTTGCGCAGATGGCCAAGGCCTCCCTAGCCCCACCGCCCGCGCTTCCTGTTTGGTTTCTCTTTTAGACAAACTTTCTGGCCTGCGGGTAGAAGTCCCGGGGCGGCAAGATGAGCGCCCAAACCGTAGCCCAGGGATCCCCACTGGTGGCCTGCGGGGAGGGGGCGGCGACCAAGGGCCCGTGGATCCCATAAATGCTGGGGTCGCTTTGGTGAAAGAAAACCCAGGAGGGGTCGCTGCTTGTCCCTTAGCTGCAGGGAAGGAGAGGAAGGTTTGGGGTTTAGAAAGCAAGAACACCTCGCGCTCTCCATTGTCTCTTCCGTGAAATGCACCCCCTCCCTGACCCCCAAGGATCTCCTTGGCCAGAGCGCCCCAAGACCCAGCTGCTATGGCTTCTCTTCTGCCCTCAGCCTGCAAGAGGATTTGCAAAGGTGGCCGGCCCCTCCTGCTGGTCTACTGTCCGACCCACTGAGACCGTCCTCTGCTGCAGAGGCTGGAGGACCCCCCACCCCCAGTTTGTCCCACTCCAGGTTTTCACGGTTCCCCTCTGCGACAAAGGGTGCCCCCATGAGGATGGGAGAGGTGGGATGAACCCCTCCCTGTATTCACCCACTAATCTTGAGTTGTGCTTTAGTTTTACCAATGGAGCAAAATACTGGGGAGCACTACCCCCAAAATAAGTTCTTGAGCAATGTGCCAGCCCCTTTCTAGGCACTTAGACAATCTCTTGTCCCCAGGCCGCTACACAGGGACTGAGAGAGAGGCAAATAAGTAGCTAGCAAGCAAATTATGTAGTGTACTGATAGAGGAGGGGAGTGTGGAGTGTTGGGGGCCAGAAAGGGGGCTGCCACATTACGGCTATCAGGTAGGCTTTGGAGGCAACTTTGAGCTAAAGCTTTGAGGGAGCCAGCTATGCGTGGAGCTGTAGGAAGGCGAAGTGCTGCAGAATGGCTTGTGCAAAGGGCCTGGGCCACAGGGTAGAAAAGGGGGAGGGGAAGTGACCCAATACACGGCTGGCAACGGAGTGGAATCCTCCCATTTCACAGACATGGAAGTGACACTCAGGACACCTATCACCCATGACAGCCCAGGAGTGTGGTTCTGACTTCTAGCCTACCATGCTTTCCTGGGACTCTGGATCTGGCTGCTCAACCCCATGCTGGCCATGCCCCCCAAGGCCAGACCTCCCCTGGGACCTGCAGGGCAATGGCCCAGGCTGTGTCCTGAGGGTTCCAGATCTCCCAGGCCCGCCCTGTGTGCTCCTGACACCTCTTTCCTGTGGCCATTCCCTTCTAAACAGTCCATTCTGCACGGGCACAGACTTCCCAGAAGGTGATTGGCTCAGAAGCTGGTTTGGCCCAGGGGAAACTGAGGCAAGCACGTCTCATCTCTTGCTTTGACAAAGCCAGTAGCAACATTGTCATTGGGCGTTTACTATACAGCTCGTTTGTGTATCTGGCTCATCGTGAGGTGTCATTATCATACCCACTTAACAGATATACAAACTGAGACACAGAGACAGCACTGAGGTGCTGAGACGCACAGTGGATGGGGGTAGACCCAGGAGGTAAGCAGTGCCCTTCTGAGTGGTCATCTGATCATTTAGCCACCAAGCCAGAGCCTAAATGTGGGGGAGATGCTCAGTCCCAGACTGGGGTGGTGGCCCACCTTGGCCTTGGAAAAGCACAGTGACTCTTCTAGTTGTCTCTAGGTGTGGTCAGAAGACAGCTCATCACTGGCTTCTAAAATAATTGGCACAGGGGTCCTGCCCATTAGCTCACTTGTTTAAGTGCCTGCTTAAGCAAAGTAGTCAGGGTCAAGATTCTGGGGTTCGATCCCCAGATCCTCATGTCTTCCCAGACATGCATTTAGGTATCCTGAGCCGCCCCCCCCCAAAAAAAAAAATCCTTCTAAAATAATTGGCACAACTTGGCAGAGCGTCTCCTCAAGGAAATTCCCTGTCCCCTCTCCTGGCCAGCACAGAGGCGGGATGCAGGGGAGGTGAGGTGCTGCTGCTGCTGCTTCTCCCAGAAGCCCTGTCCCCATGGGATCCAGCATCCAGAATGTCCCTTGAGGGCCCTGAGATGGTCACTGGGCTGAGGGGAAGGCTGGATTGAAAAAGACAGGAAATCTCCATGCGCCTGCCGCTTTTGAGTGAGTCGGGATAGGAAAGGCCCTGTGGGTGACTTTTGGTATGGAAACTCAGGGTGTCCCACCCTGTCCTCCTTCTTCTGCTCAGCAGGGATGGGGGTGGGGTGGGGTTGAGCTTTGGAGAAGCTTGTGAGAAAAGTTGGGCTTTTCTTTTGTTTTCTGCATATCACAAGGAAGAGAACGGAAGGGACAGCACTGTCGGGGTGGGGGTGGGCAGGGGACAGAGTGGCTGGACATGGGGCCTGCGCAGGTGGCCAGAGGGGTTCAGAGGTTAGAGCCCCGGGACTGGAGACCACACCCTACATTTTTAAACAAGGACACTGAGCCCAGAAGACTGGCCTTGCCTGGCTAGTGACCCAGAGCCTGGGGGCGGCCGCTACTATCCTGAAGCGCTGAGTCCAGGACAAGCCCTGCGCTCCCACCTCCCGGGCTCACGTTCTTGGATGTACTTAGAAGCAAGGCTGGAAAGCTTTCCTGACTTTGCAGTACCCTCCCAAGGGTGGGCCTTGACTGTGTCCTCTCCCACCCTGTCAGCTGTCCTTTGTCACCTGGCTGTCTGCAGCATCCTGGATGGGCCGCAGCACCCACCTCGCTGGCCTGTCCCCAGAGGCAGCTGTGGGGGCTTCTGGCTGCAGTTGGGCAGCACGCTGGGACCTGTGACCTCTCGGGGTCCCTCCCTCACTTGGCGATTGGGGTCCTGGACAGCAGGTTGGGCCCCCAGGCCCTGGCTAGGATATGTGTGAACCGGACATGGCCTTCTAGAGTGACAGCCTATGGCGGCGGGCCCCGCTGGGGTGTACATGTAGGTCTAGAGCCTTGGACTCCATGCTCAGGCGCCTTATGACCCCCACTCTGCCAGGCTTTCCTGTCCCCCCTCGCTGCGGCCCCCTCTGCTGGGCACTGCCTGGCCCAGACCCACTTCCGGTTATTCTGTTCCCTCTGATAACAGAACAATGGGCCTGAGCTGCAGCCCTTGCCAAGGCCACCACCTGGGCCCAGACCCCAGGGCTGCGCTTACTGGGGCTGCAGGGGTGAGATGGATAAGATGGAAAGGTCACGTTCACCAAGGAGTCGCTCCTTTCCCTCCTCCACCACCCCACACACGTGCATACAGGTGCGCATGCACACACACACACCAGCCCCTCCCAAGACACCCACTTGAAGCACTCTTCTCAGTTGACTTGGTTGGTACACTGGAGTGAGTCACTGGGCCTCAGTTTTCTTAGCTGTAAAGTGGGGGTAAGCAAGCCCATCTCTTAGGTGGAGGTCACACAGAGACCTCTGGCGTGTGCATGTGCACGGCTCCCCCCTCCAGCCCTGAGACAGATGTAGGGAGTTGGAGGCAGATGTTGCCACCAGCTGGGGAGGGACAGTTGCCACCTGTGTAATCAGCCCACTTTGGAACAGAAGTGGCCCCTGGCGGAGGTGCTCAGCACATTGACCCCCTGAGTCACCGGGACGCTTGCAGCTGGTGGCTGGTGGTGGCTCCGTGCCTAGTGCCTGCCTGCCTCCCTCCCTCCCACCGAGGCTCCTAAGCTGCTCCTTCCGGCCACAGTCTCCCTTCGTTTCTATGGAAACCAGGCTTCCTGGAAGGATGGGGACCTGGGGGAAGTCCTCAGGATCTGTGAGGGAGCGATGCCCAGCCTGTCAGGCTCCACAGCTGCCTGGAGTCCAGCTTGGCAGGCACCTGTTTATGTCACTGACCACAGTCCTTCCTGGGGAACATACTGGGAGCCCGCCCCTCACAGCTGGTCTCATTACTCCAAATCACAGAGCTGTGAGCTGAGTACAAGCCGTGGTCTTTCACAGAGGCGATGTGTGGGCTCAGAGAGGTTAAGTGATTTTCCTGAGGTCACAGAGCAGTGCAGGGAAAGAGTGGCTCTGAGCCCAAATTTTCCCAGTATTAAGGAGGAGAACTTAGCCCTGCTGGGCATCCTCTGCAGACTCGGCACTCCTCATGGGTCCCTGCCTCCCGGCCTGCCTCACCTGCAGGATGAGGCTCTGCCTCCCTGTCTCTGGGAGCTACATGGAGATGTCTTTTGAGGTCACAGCAGGGGGTTGAGCAGTTGGCTCCTGGGGTGTCCCTGCTCTCTGGCGTCCCAGCTTGGCCTGAAAAATACAGCTCCTCCTCAGCATCATTCCACCGGGACAGAAGCCGTGGAAGCCCTGGTCTATGCTGTAGGGCGGGTGGCCCAGTGGCCCCAGGTAGCCTTCTCCCTATTGTGTCCAGGCTGCCCTGAGCCTGGAAGTGATGCAGTTTGTTCAAAGCTGTCTGAGCCCTGGTGGTGAGCCGGCCAGAGAGGGGCTCAGCTCTGCCTGCCCCCACCACCAGCTTCTGGACGGCCTGGGCAGACCCGGCCCTGTTGGCCTCGGTGTCTTGCCCTGTTGGACCCGTCCCTCGGGCCCGCACCTGTCTTCCCACAGCCGGGGTCAGGGAGGCCACTGCTCCTTCTCTGCACCACCAGAGCACCTGCTATGTGCTCGGGCCCAGCCAGAGATGCCAGTGAGTGCAGCCAGGTCCAGCCATCTGAGCGCACCACTTGGGAAGGAGAGGCTCGGCCCCGGGGGCAAGCAGCAGCCCTGGGCACCCACCCGGACACCCCTACTCTTGGCCTTCTTGTAGCCCCTGTCCCTAGGTGGAAGCTGAGACCAGGGCTCTCTGGCTGTCACAATATCCCTTTGAGTTAGCTCCACTTCTTTTGTCAACTTCAAGCGGGGGAAACCGAGGCAAGGAAAGATTGAAGTGCCCCCCCAGACCCCAGCTAAGAAGAGGAGGTCTGGACTAAGCTGTCAACTACCCAGTGAGAAAAGAAAGGGTGAAAACAAAGGCTGAGCCTTCAGGGGTGGTGACGCCCACGAACTCTGAGCAGTTGGGGCAGGATGGTGAATTTGAGCCTGGGCCAGATAATTTAGTGACTTAGTGTGGCCCTGAAGTGTCCGTGATGACATTCTCTGTTATGGTATGTTTATTTTGATTTAAGAACTGACAGGCCCAAGGCTCGGTGTGGTGGTGCAAGGCTGTAATCCCAACACTCAGGGAGGCTGAGGCAGGAGGATCACAAGTTTGAGCTCAGTGTAAAGGCCCTGGGTTCAATGCCCAGTACTGCAAAATAGATCCATCAGAGCAGGTCACTGAGCCCTGAAGCCTGGACAGATCTCAGAGGTGTGGTGCTGAGTGGAGAAGCTGTGGCGAAGGCCCTATACTTGACAGTTCCATTTCCTTCCTTCCTTCCTTCCTTCCTTCCTTCCTTCCTTCCTTCCTTCCTTCCTTCCTTCCTTCTTTCCTTCCTGTATTTAGAGCAGGGTCCACAGGATCTACAGGGTCTCACTATGTAGATTGGACTCCTAGTGATCCTTCTGTTTTCAGCCTCCCAAGTGCTGGGATTACAGGTGTGTGCCACCACACCCAGTCTCAATCGCTGTCTTAGCACACCCTGCAGGCAGGGCCGGCATGACACACCGGGGATCAAACCCTACCTGCTGCACTCGACCTAAGCAGGTGCTTTAGTCTGCTGAGCTATCAGGCCAACCCTGACAATTCCATTTCTGTATCATATTTGAGGAAACCAGGGGGCCGGGGAGATGGCTCAGTGGAATAAGCGCTTCTCTGGCAAGCGCAGGGACCTGAGTTCAATCCCCAGTTCCATCAAATTAAAAACAAAAACATATTTGAGGAAACCAAAGCAGCTGTGGTGACCCAGAACACCCCCAGGCTGCCAGCAGGGGTTGGGAGGCGAGCATGGGAGAGGGTGGGCATTTGGGGATGATAAACTTGCCCTGTCTCAGAGGTGCTAGCCCAGATGTACACAGCTACACAACAGCACACGCAAGAGTCACTTGGGCTGTCTATGTTAAGGAAGAGGCCGGAGGCCATGAGTGGTGACGCACACTGTGATCCCTTGGGAGGCCAAGACAGGAGGATCATTGTGAGTTCAAGACCAGCCTGGGCTGCATGGTGAAACCCAGTCTCAAAAAGACAGAGGGGGGAAAAAAAGAAAGAAAATGCAAGAGGAAGGGTGTGACATCTGAGGGACAGGTCAGGGGACTGCAGCTTGGTGAGCCTTACAGGCAGCCTGGCCTGCCATCAGGTTCAGAGATGCTGGCTAACCACAGTTTCTGCTTGGATCTGGGAGGGTGGGGGCAAATGGCCGAGGTCTGGGGACAGTGACTTGGGCACTGTGGTTGACCCTGGCTCCTCACAACGGGCCCCATGGTGATGCTGAGTCCCTCTGTGTGCCGCTAGGCCTGGCCCAGGCTGCAGGGGAAGGGGACACGAACAGTACCTGGTCTTATAGATGAGGAGCGAAGCCAGGGGCTGAGGAGGGCCACATGTACTCCCTGACAGTCGACAGCTGCCGTCCTTGCCAAACCTGAGCTGTGACACCTGCCCCTGTGTCTTGTGTCCCGAGCCACTGTTTGTGGGCCCCTGGGTGGGATTCTGGTGTCTGTTTGGCTGCTTATTCGAAGAACTGACAGGCACAAGGTATGCCTGTAACCCCAGGACTCTGGGAGGCTGAGGCAGGCAGGTCACAAGCCTAGCCAGGACAACTTAGTGAGACCCAATCTCAAAAATTAAAAACTGGGCTGGGCTGGGCAGGGCTGGGCAGGGCAGAGAACTCAGTGAGAAGGGACTGGGTCTCTCCCCCAACATACAAAGAATAAAAAAGTTCCAAACTAGTAGGCGTGATTGTGCAGCTGTCCTCCGCAGCCTGCTGGGGCTCAGAGGCTGGGATGGCTGGGTGTGTGTGGCGGGTCCCCTGGAGGGGCCCCAACAGCTCCTGAGCTGTGGGGCGGGCGCGGAGGTCCTCGCTCTGCCTCCCAGGGTCTGGAATGGGTGGGATGGTGACGAGGAGCCCTGACCCACACCGAGCCTGTCTTTCTTTGCAGATTGTGTGGCTGTGGGCCAGGACCCGCCCCCTTCTGCTCTGTGCCAGAACCCTGCACACACCTGGTTTGTGGTAGGTGCCCAGGACTGGCCCTGGCATCTGAAGGTGGTAGAATACTCTGGCAGGCCAGGACGGGCAGGGTGGCTGCTGCTGGCAGAGATGGGGCGAGGCTGGGGCTTAACGTGCTCAGGCTGCCGGAGCCCTGCCTCTTCCTAGGGTCCTGGAGGATTGGGGAGGTGGGTTTGGTGGGCAAGGGGATCACTAAGCAGATCCCAGACCCGTGTGCAGTGGGCTCTGCTGGTCCAGGACTGGCTGAAGTGTCCATCCTTGTAACCTGGGCCCGGCCCTGTCTCCCCAGCCCCTCTGCTCAGGCTCCAGGACGCAATGGCGGCCAAGCAGCCCCCGCCTCTCATGAAGAAGCACAGCCAGACAGATCTTGTGAGCCGCCTGAAGACTCGAAAGATCTTAGGTGTGGGCGGGGAGGATGATGACGGCGAGGTGCACCGCTCCAAGGTGGGTCCCACGGTGACAGCAGGCCAGGTGAGCAGGGAGCTGCTTGTGCGGCACTAGCTGCTTAACTTTGCTGCCCCGGAGTTGTAGGTGCTGCAGTGTGCCCATTTTACAGATGAGGACATTGAGGTTCAGGCAAGCTAAGTCCCGTTCTCGAGGCCACACAGGCAGGTGGCAGCAACAGGCTTCACAGCCCACATCTGGCAGACGCTGAGCTCTTTCTTGGTCACCTGGGCAGGTCCCTGGTGATGCTGGGAGCTGCTATCCTTCCGGTGGCCTCTGACCTTCCCTGTGTCCACAGATCAGCCAGGTCCTGGGCAACGAGATCAAGTTTGCTGTCCGGGAACCCCTGGGGCTCAGGTGAGCCCTGAGCTGGGTCTTGCTTTTGGGGGATGAGGCTTGGTTGTAGGGGGGCAGAGGGACCTCACTTTGGATTCCACGGTGTTGTCATCTCCCCTAGACTGGCTGTCCTGGGCACACGAGGGGCTGTTTCCAGGCTGGAAGGGCCTGGCAGTGACCTCCCTCTACATCCCTCCCCCCTCCGCAGGGTCTGGCAGTTCGTGTCTGCAGTGCTGTTCTCTGGCATTGCGTTCATGGTGAGGCTCTGCCCCAGCCCCAGCCCATGGGACCTGGGACCGGTGGGACGGGCCCCAGCCCAGGATCACCCAGTGGTCACTATCTGTGGCCCGATTCCTGGCACTGGGAACTTCACTCCTCTGTCCTGGGGCAGAGGTGACTGTCCTGCTCCGGGCTGCCTCGGGGTCCCTGCTGTGGCTCTGGGGGAGGGGTGTAAGGAGGTGTCCACACCACTGAGCCCAGCCTCCAGCCCCCTGCTGTGTGCAGGCCCTGGCCTTCCCTGACCAGCTCTACGATGCTGTCTTCGATGGAGCCGAGGTCACCAGCAAGACCCCAATCCGCCTGTATGGGGGTGCCCTGCTCAGTGAGTACTGGGGGGCCTGGGCAGTGAGGGGACACAGGTCCTCCTCCGCCTGAGCCCTTTCCCCATCTCCATCCCTGTCTCTCAGGCGACTGCTGGGTGTCTGCTGCCACCTGGGGGCCGTGGGCGGCAGCTTTCTGTCACCAGGCTGAGTGTGGGGCTGTGTCCCAGTGGCCAGGCAGTGGCTTGAGTCCCGGGACCTCAGCCCAGGGGAGAGCCAGAGCTTGGCTGCCCATTTCTGCTGATGCAGAGACCTCGTCCCAGGGAGGGGAGAGGCCCTGCCTCAGGAGCATGGGCCACGTAAGGAGGCCCAGGTCAGGGGACCAGGCTGTCCCTCAGCCCTGTCCCCACGCAGGCATCTCCCTGATCATGTGGAATGCACTCTACACGGCTGAGAAGGTCATCATCCGGTGGACACTGCTCACGGAAGCCTGCTACTTCGGGGTCCAGTTTGTGGGTGAGTCCTGGGGTGGAACCTGAGGGAGGGTGAGGGCATAGGAGCAGGGCCCCAGATGCAGAGCCTCTCCCTGACCCGTCCCCTCCTGGCCTTTCTCTCACAGTAGTCACTGCCACGCTGGCTGAGACGGGCCTGGTGTCACTGGGGATCCTGGTGCTCCTGGCCAGCCGCCTACTCTTCGTGGCCATCAGCATTTACTACTATTACCAAGTTGGCCGGAAGCCCAAGAAAGTCTAGTGGGGCCGGGACCCGCGCATGCTGGGCTGGCTCAGCTTCGGGGCGTCTGTTCCCCCTCGACTCCTGGAAGGCAACCCCTCTCTCAGCCGGCCACAGTGCTCCTAGGCAGGCAGGGGAGCCCCTTCCCTCCTGAGCCCTCTCCTGGGGCTGTAGCATCCTGGGCTTCCAGTCTGGCAGGCCGGTTGAGGAGACAGGCTGTACCCCACTTCCTCGTGTGGAGTAGATATGCCCTGCAAGGTCCTGACCGAAGACCAGTCTCCTGGGATGTGGGCTGAGCCAAGGGCCCCCCCTTCTTCAGCTAGGAAGCCCTCCTCTCTTGGGAGAGCCTGCAGAGCCCCACCCCCAGCACCTCCCCGCAAAGCTGCCCTCTATACAACCCCAGAATGTGACCCTGACACCCGCCTCCCCTGCAGCCACAGCTGCTGCTCCAAGCACACGCCCTTCCTACACCTGGAGTTGGCGTCTCCCTGGACCTTTCTGGAGGCAGGTGCACAGGCAGACTTCCTGCCCCACCCCACCCTGTGAAGGGACACACAGACAGCGGCAGGGGGCACTGACGGGTGATGGGTGGATTTGGAGGTGAGGAAGAAAAGCAGTTGTATTTTCTCACCCTGGCTCATCCTCTAAGGCCCGGCTCCCATCTGTAGTTCACACAGGCACAAACAAGTGATTCAGCCAACCACCTGTCACCACCCCTTCTCCAAGATGGGGGTCAGGAGACTGTCCCATCCTGTAGCCAGTGACATGTGCATGTCCGGCAGAGAGGTGGTTCCTCCCCTCACACAGCTAAGGAGAGGCCCAGTGGGGGCCAGGCAGCCCTGGAGACTCGCCTGCATTCCACTCTTGACTTGTCCCTGGAGCCTCACTGCCCTCTGCCAAGCCCCTGGGTAGGCAGAAGCCACTGCCTGCCTGTGGCCAAAGCCCCACCTGCTGCTATGCCAGGGCTTGAGGCCCAGCCACTTCACAGGGGGGTGACAGGGCTACCGCTGGGCATGCTGGTAATTTCCAGGGTGGCATGGCTGAGATGGCCAATCCCACACCTGCTGTGGGCAGGAGGGTGTTGCCACCTCAGCCTCTGGAGCCACAACTGCCCTGGGCTTCCCAGACATCACTTGAAAGCTGCTGTACAGCTGGGGTAGGGGCCACACCATGTCTGGCAGATGTGTGGTCGGGGAGAATAGGTGCCCAGGAAGGCAGCAGATGGGACAGGGCACCCTGTGTCTGCTGGGCTTGGGGTACCCTGGCCAGCATCCCCTACCCCGGCGCCCAGTGCTGTCCAGCTTCCGCCCCTGCTTGGGCTGCCTCACTCCCGAGTCAGGACCATCTTTATTCACGGTCACTATTTATTCTTCGTTCCTTTTTGTAAGAAAGTCACAAAAACCAGTGCAAAACCATCCATGTGGGTGTCCTGTTTTATATTACAAAACCGCTCTTGATATAGAATATAAAAAGGGGGGCTTGAGGGAGAAAACCGTGATAAATTAGCTCCGCTGTCTACTGCGAGGGACATTTACAGATTCCAAAATAGACTTTCAATGTGTGACCCACAGGGAGGGAAGGGGTGTGCCTGGGCCTCAGCTGGTTGGGGGATCCGGCCTGGAGTCCCTGGGCACACCGGTGGAGAGGGACCCAGTGTGTGGCCAGGTGGCCAGAGCCCCTGCCCTTGCCCTGTATGGTGTGCCCCTTCTGGAAGTGCCTCTGCTTCCAGCTGTGAGGGCCTGGCTCTGGTGCTGAGCGTGGCTAGCTGGCCTCCTTGGCACCTTCCTGGAGAGCCCTTGAGGTTGCGCAGCTCACCCTGGCCAGAGGGAGCCCCCTCTGCCCTTGCAGATCGTCTCTGGGGTGCCCAGCCTGGGGCAGGATGGATGGAGTTCAGGTTTGACCTCAGAGCAGCCCTTTGTGTGCCTTTCTGGGAAGTTGGGGCTAAGTGTCCAGGGAAAGCCAGGCCCACAGCCAGGCCCCTGGCTCCGAGGACTTCAACCTCTAGGGAGCGCCTGGCGTTGTTTGTGGTGATTGCCAGGGTGGGCTGTTCAAGGCATAGCTTGGGCAGATGGAACTCAGATGAGAGATCAAGTGGGGACAGCAAATCGGCATGGACACAGCTGGCTGCTGAGCTGTCCTCCAGGTGGAAAGCCTGACAGGAGGCTGGACAGTGGGATAAGGAGAGACAGAGTGAGTGACAGAGAGGACAAGCAGGTGCCATGATGTTCTTCCCATGCCATGCCAGAAGCAGACATAACTAATCAAACTCAAGGTACCTGCCAGGCATCACTAATCAAATTCAAGGTGCCCATCGGACATCTCTATTGGGGATTCCACTGCCCTTTCCCACCAGGCACAGACTAAAACACAGCATCAGCACAACTCAGGAAGCCACCTGATTTGTTAGCATGCAGGCATCTTGCAACACTGGTCTAGAGCATGATGCTTGGATACTTGGGGGTGTTATGTGGATGGGAACCTGTGAGTTTATGGAACAGTTTCTGCCCGAGCCTGGAGGCAACCCTGTAATATCCTGTGGATGGCAAAAGGGCCAGAAACCATGTCATAGCAGAAGTGGCTGAGAGGCCCTAGGGTCCCTCAGTCCGCATACAAGGAGGCCAGGAGCGAGACACCAAGTGGAGGTGTGTGCACAGAGCCACAGCAGGAGGCCCTGCTGTCTGGTGATGCCGACATCAGAGCAGTCCAGAGGCGGAAGGTTGCCTCAGGAGGTAGTGAGCTCTCTGTCTCAGGAGGTATGCTAGGAGCCAGAGGAGTTTTGGCAGGAGTCTTGTAGGACACATCGAAGCCTCAGTTCTGGGTAAGGAGGAGAACCGGATCATCCCGGGGGCTTCCTCCACCCTGAGAGGGAGTTGGGGAGACGGGGAGAGGGTGGCCATGGGGTGGTGCGGATGGGGGATGTGATGCGCGTGGGGAGCTGAGACGCAGGAGGTGGGAGGGTGGGCAATGGGGACACAGTACAGACTTCCCTTTGCTGGAGAGCTGGGTGGAGCTGGTTTCTGGCCAGCTGGCCTCTCTTCTCGGGACCCAAGACACGGAGGTCACAGGGGTGTGTGACGGCAGAAGTCCTGGGTGGAGTGACAGCAGCCTGGAGCTAGCCCAGGCTCTGTTCACAGCTGTCGGGCCCAGACTGTGGCTGAGGATGGTCTGCACCTCTGTGGGCTACGCTTGGTTCAACAGACGGGAAAGGAAGGACTCGGCCAGCGGAGCTGCTCTGGATCTGGGGTCTGCACGCAGCTCCCTCGGCCTGGCCGGAAGTATGGCATCTGCGTCATCCTCTAGGCGTGGCACTGTGGGTCCTGGGCCCTCAAAGTCACGGCTAACAAGTCTCTCTCGGGTTTTGGCAGCCGCGGAACTTGTTGCCCAAATCCTTGCCTCCCTAGCCACAGGACCCTGGCATAGTGTTCATTTGGTTCCTGCGGGCAGATGGCTTCGTGGGTCAGTTCTGGGGACCTGTCATGAACCCGTGACTGCCCTGGAGTCCAAGTGAGGCCACGTCCATGTTTCTATTTCATTTTGTTTAAAAAAAAAATAGCTCTGTGCCCGGTCCTTTTCCTGGCCACCTGCTTTGGCCTCCTCTCCTCCCCCTGGCCAGGGGTTGGGGTCAGGGAGGACAGGGCCACGGGTGCTGGGCAGTGGTACGTGGGGCATCCTTGGGCCACACCTTCTACTGGATGCCCCGGAAGAGGCACATGGCAAAGATCATGACAAAAAGCTGCAAGAAAGTAGGTGATTTGTCAGGATGGGTGACCTCAGCTTCCGGGTCACACTCCTACAGCAGTTCTGACACTATGCCCCAACCTCCTCTGGCTACCTTCCTACAAGTCATGCGTTTGAGTCCAGCTGCCCCCTTTACCAGCAGTGACTTCCGCCAGCTCCTTTCTCTGGATCTGAGCATGTACTAGAAGCTTATCGGGCCAGACCCATTTTCAAGTGCCTTCCCAGAAAACTCTGCAGACCAGAGAGCAAGTCCCAGGGAGGGCACACAACTGGCCACGCCACTCAGCTACAAGTGGGGATTGGCTTTGAGCCAGGCGTGCCAACCCCAGAGTCCATCTCTGAATTCCTGCATGCCCCCTCTGGCTCAAGGCAACTGCAACCTTCCCAGGTCAGGCACAGAGCACTGGGCCCTGCATGTGTGGAAGCAGAGACCCTGACTCAGAGGGTGTCCTTGGCTCAGCTCAGCTCGAACCTCCACCCCCAGTGCTGATGGAGCAGCACAGGAAGAAGCCTAGGCCATGGGGCAGGCGGGCTGCGCGCAGCTCTGAGGGCCATGGCCAAGGTCCTGGCCCCAGGCCGGGGGTGCTCGGGGCAGCATGAGGGTGGCAGCCACAGTACAGATTGTTTCCCCAAGCCCCGCACGCCTTCCTGAGCAGACTGCTGGCACGGTGGACACATCGGCTCCTCCTAGAGATGAGCTGGGTCGGGGTGTGCAGAAGTTGTTGCCCTTTATGGAGCAGCCAGTTAGATCATGGGAGACACACACACACACACACACACACACACACACACACACACACACACACGCCCACGGGCACACATACAGTGCCTCTCTGACCAGGTGCCCCCTCTTGGCGGATCTGAGGTATGCAGCAGTTCAAGATTTTTTTTTTTTCCTTCTTCATTTCTGGGGGCTAAACTGAAGGCCTTGGCTCTCCGCTTTATCCCCAGGCCTTTTTGTATTTTTTAACTTTGAGACAGGATCTCGCTGTGTTGTCCAACCTGGGCTTGAGCTTGCATTGTGCCTGCCTGTCCCCACTGCTGTGAGACTAAATGGCCCCTACTATGGCTATGCTATCTGCAGTCTCAGGGTGACTCTGGTGGCAGGCAGGTGTGGCAGGGCTGACACCCCAGTGCCCACAGCAGGGATGTCTCCGGCCTGGATTAGGGAAGTGCAGATGGGAGGCGGTGCCAGCTGGGGGTGCAGACTGTGGTGTCTGCTTCAGCCCCCCCTTGGGACAGCACACATGGGGCCTCTGCTCACCTCGATGGCCAGCACCCCTATGGCCAGTGCTCCTGCCAGGTAGACGTAGGTTTCGAAGGCATTAAGGATCACCGTGTAGCAGCCCTGTGCAAAAGGACCAAGGTGAAGCCACGTCTGGGAGAGACCGGACGGCGGGCAGCAGGAGGGAGTTTCCGGTTCACAAACACGGCCATTTGGCAGCATTCATGGAAGTCCCTCCTGGGGACATGCAAAACCAGAGCAGGCGAGAAGGGACCCGGTTTCTCTAAGATGCCGGAAGGCCAGGATTTCCTCCAGGGCTGGGACAAATCCACAGCTTGCAAGGAAGCAGAGAAGTGTTGAGGCATCCCCTGAGCTTGGAGGTCTGGTCAGGAGACCCTGCTCCCTTCAGACAGTGGGGTGTCCCCCACCCCGCACCCACAAGAAATGTCAGCGCGTAGCTAGATGTGTCTGCTGCCTGCCCTGCCCTGCCCTGCCCCAGTGCTCCTGACAGCCAGGGAGCATGCCCATATTCAGCCCCTGCTCGGGCACAGGAGCCCAGCCTAAGCAGCTCCCACTCTGCCCTGCACCTGCAGGGCCGCACCTGCTTGTTGATGAACACGCTGTCACCCAGCAGGCATCTCTCAGGGCTGAGCAGCACGCCATCCCGGGCCTGCGGCTCCCTTCGGCAGCAGGCCTCGGGCACCACCTCACTGTCCAGAGTCAGCAGGTGAAACACTGACGCCAACTTGAAGTCTTCGGGCCCATTGACCCCGCAGCAGCCAAACTGGAGGAGGGCAGGGAACAGGGCAGGGGCTGGAGCCAAGGTACCTTGAGAGGAAGGGCCAAGGGACCAGCTGGCCTGATTCCATTTGCCCTCCTGGGTGGTTGTGGGACAATCACTTGGCCTCTCTGAGCCTGCAGGACCCGCATCCATTCTCTTCATCCTCAGTGACAGTGCTGGCAGCAAAGAGATCTCACCCTGCAATGGGACTGGGACTGCCTGGCCATGGCTGCCTGGGGCACTATGAGGCTCTGGGCTCAACTGGTCTGGGCTCAAGAGGGTGATAGCTGAAGTCGATTGCTGATGTCTGGCATGGGCAAAGAAACAGGAAACCATCCCTGGGGGCAGGGGGCACTCACTGTGATCATGACAGAGTTCCAGGTGGCAGAGAAGACATCTGTGTCGTTACTGCCCTGGTAGTGCTTGGTGAGCTCCTTGGTGAAGAACTCGCGGGTGAGCTGGGGACAGCAGGGAATTGCTGAGCCTAAAGCTGGTGCCACCAGGCCCTACCCACAACTCCCCATTATTTTCTGGGGTGCAGGGGAGAGAGTACTAGGCTTCCTTCCCCTCCCTTGACCTGTGTACTCCCCTTGAAGTGACAAGGACATCCTGAACAAAGGCCTCGCAATGCTGGGCTCAGGGCATGCTGGGGGATAAGCGCAGTTGCACAGTTGTTCTTAGAGAGAGGGATAGGGGTTGGGGGTACCCCTCACCCTGCAGCTTGTCTAGGCAGAAACAGCAGATGCCCTGGGTCCCCACCTGAAAGAAGCCTGGTTTGGGCAGATAATTTTAATCTCTGCCATTCCTGGGAACATCACTGCTATTCTGAAAACGGCCTCCCAGGTGCCGGCTTTCTCCCCAATATAGGGGATGGGGCAACCCATGGGCGCCACCTCCTTTCTCCTCTCTGCTGCCCTGGGGCCTTCTCCAGCATCTGCTGCCTTTCCTCTGATGTCCACTTGGGGGAGCAGCTGGTGGCCCAGGGAGGACATGCACCTGGGCCTCACTGCATGAGTACTCTGCCCCGGAGTCCTACACTGTGCAGACACAGGCCAGGTGACAGCCTCACTGACCATCCTGAGGCCCTGTTACAACTGTCCCTGGGACATCACTGCATGCGGTATGAATGAGGAGACTCCAGAGTGGGGCAGGGCCGCTCCAGCTGCCTCGGGAGCAGAGACCCTTCGGCCTCCTGGAAATGTCCTGGCTGGGACAGGCTCCCTGGGTTCTCCCTGGGTGGGAGGGCACCCTTCAGCCGGCACTGGAGGGGGCTGCCAGCCCTGTGGGGCTACTTAGGTGGGGAGATGGCCTTGGCTGGCCACCAGCGAGTCCTTGGGGGGAGGGGGATGGGAAAGCCAGGCTGGGACATACGTTTTCCCTGAAGATGAAGGCCAGGATGGCTGCAGAGAGCTCCGCCAGGAAGATGATCAGGATGAACAGGAAGAACTGCAAGGACAAGGGCCAGTTTGTGAGCCCAGGGCAGGATAGATGTTCAGCCATGTACCCTTCCATCTGTTACCTAATAAACCAGACACTTCTCACGACAGACATCCCAGCAATCCGTCCTCAGAGTCAGCAAAGTTGAAACACAATTATGAAAGTGACCAAATGATAAGCCTTTCATAACACTGTAGCACTTCGAGAGGCCCCCTGGTGCAGTGTGCAACCTGAACAACTCTACTTGGCAGCCCTAGAAAGAGGCTACTGGTGAAACCCATCTGCGCTCCCTCCAGGTGACAGTCCAGGCTATGGGAATGTTGAGGTCTTGAGAGGTGCAGGGCCATCTCTCTCTGCCCATCTTCTGCTTCTCTTGGAAGAGATGACACTGATCTTCGGCTAAAATAAAGGAGCAAGACTGGAGGCCAGGCACAAGGCCAGCAGAACCTGAACACCCAGGGCTTTAGAGCCTGACGCCTAACCGCAAGTGCCCTCTGCTCCCCTCAGTGAATTCACAAATTCCCCAGGCTGCCCAGGCTGGCTCCATGTTGGGCATCACACGATGGGTGGTCTCTTCCAGGAAGACGCTGCCCACCTTTGCCTTCTGGTACCTCGCTTTCCAGGGCTGGTGTGAAGCGTTTTGTGACCTTGACCCCTGACTGTCCATGACCATGATGCCCAATGACATCCGGGCCTCCAACATTGGGGTTGTGACCCTGCATACTACCTGAGACAGAGTGGCTCCAATTGCAGGCTGTAGGTGACCAAGTCCAGGAGTGGACAGGTTGCTGTGGGCCAGGGCTGCTGGAGTGCTTTTGCCATCACTCCTTGGCACTGTCAGTCTGCTGTCACCCGGTCATGAAGCCACCAGTAGACATCCCTGGTGCACTCCAGGGCTCCTTCCCACACCTCTGCCAGGACCCAGGAAGCCGTGTAGACATCACTGGATGTGCCTGGCTGGAGGAGGCAGGACTGCTGGCTCTGTGTTTAGAAGCCTCGGGTCCCTCCTTCCTAGTCCTGTGTGACTTGTAGTTTTTTTTTTCTTTCTTTCAAATCCCTTGCAGCTTCAGTTTCCCTGTCATGCAAGGCAGCTGTGTGCACCCACTTCCTGGGGTCATGGTGTCACAATGGGAAGGTGAAACTTGCTGGGCTGTGACAGGCTGACAGATGGTCTGGCTCACACTGTGCACCACGTAGAGCCACCTCCCAGTGCCCTTTGGGCCACCGATGATGCCTTCGGGGCCTCTGCCTTGCAATGTGTCTCTTCTGATCAGAAGGTATCACTTCATTCCCACCCTAAGAAGCCCTGAGTCCCATTTCAACAGTGTCAGCTCAGCCATACAAGAGCCGCGTGTGCCTTTAGGAATCCTCATCTGGGATGCAACATGGACACAAAGGGACACAAAACACCTCCTAGACTTGGGAAACGGTGTTTTTAAAATATCCAAATCCACAGAGAGGCCCCTGCTCAGACTGATCTGAGGCACACAGGCTGGATCTTCCCAGGTCTCGTGCCAGCCCTATTTGTAGCTGCAGCTCCAGGGTGATCTCAGGCTGGGGCTGGGCATGAGGCATAGGAAGGAGGAAATGCCTGTCTTCCCTCCTGGGCATCTGCCAAGCCCAGCGGAGTACAGCACAGCATCTTCGGGCCCTGGGGCATGTGACCCCGCAGGTCACCCACACTTCATTCTGTCACCCCAAGGTCCTCACTCCCATAAGCCTGGCTGGCTCTTGGGCTGCATGGCCTGGAAGGCTGTGCCCTCCACCTCTCCTTCCGGTGGCAGTGATGGAGCTCCTGGCAGGGGACCTGGCACTTCCATTTAGTCGGTGACGGATGGTCATCCGGTTCCATCTCCCTGGCCTGTATCTACAAGGAGTCGCTCTTGCTCTCTGCCCTCTCCTGGCAGCTCTTCAGGCCGGTGAAGAGCAGTCCCAGAAATGGCCTTCGGCCATGGCGATGCACCTCAGCCGGCTGGGGTTCTAAGTTGCATCTGGGCCCTCTGGCTCAGCACCAGAGCGCATGCGCGACCCGTGATGCCTGCGCACCAAAGAATGCAAAAATGTCTCCTCACTAGCGTGCGTGTGCGATCCTCAAAATGCGTCAATAAGAAAATGTGGGTCAGGAGGGATACGGAGATCTTTGGACCAGCTGGTGTGGGTCTGATCTGGTGCACCAAGCCCTCCCAGTACTTTGGTAAGCAGCTCCCAGTCAGCAGTGTCCCATTTTATGGATGGGGCTGCCTCTGGGAGAAGGGCGTCCTCTGGCTGGCACAGCGCGACCGTCACCTCAGGTCTGAACACAGTTTGGGATTATCCTGGAAGTCATACAAGCTTCTGGATCTTTGATTTCCAAACAGCCCGCTCAGTCCATTCTGGGTCAAGGCCGGCTCTCCGGTTTTGCATTTATCAGATGCGCATGCGTGCTGGCTGCACAGGTCAGCAAGGCGCGCGTTTTCCCCACTGGATCCTGCACACGGCACTCACTGCAGCTGCGGAGGAGGAGGTGGCTGCCCTCCGTTCACATGGAAGAAATCTGAGGTTCAGAGAGGTTAAGAAACCAGACCCAGCACTCACAGCACAGGCTCCAGAGCGCTTGCCCTTACTCACACCACAGATACAGCTTCCTTCGTGTCCTTTCCGTCCAGGGCGATCTGCCCAGCACGCCCGCGGGGGCAGGCGCTGGACGGGATACTGGCGATTGGGGGCTCCTGAGGCCCGGGCTGCCCAGCACTCGGGCTCCCCAGGCCGTGTGCCTGTGTTCGTGTGGCTCGCATTTTGTCCTGGGAGCGTCTGTGGGACTCCGCACACTATGCAGGACGCTGTTCGGCGGGAAGTGGCTGTCTCGCCTCGAGTGAGCATTCCCAGGCTTTCCCGCCCATCTGTGAGCCGCGGCTGCTCTCAGTTCTAGTTTCTAATAAATATTTACCAAATTTATGCACTTCATGTACAATTCAGCTTGTCTATTTTTTAAATACATTCCTCTTTTCTGCTGTTTTCTTTTCCAACTTGGCATGCCTTTGTTGAAAAATATTTTTTTTAAATTAGGATCTTTAAATGAATTGGCTAAAAAGACTCCTTGAGATGCTCAGAAACGGGGGCGGCATGCGATCTCCACACCAAGCACCCCTGGTTGTGGGGTGTGTGAGGGTTGGGAAACTGCGCTTCCATAAGGTCGGGCACCAGGTGACCTGGTCCTCAGCCAACTGTCCCTGGGTTCTCAGCCTTCCAGCAGACAGCAGGGGGCGCTCAGGTAACCCACCACCACCATCCTGAGCCTCCAAAGCCACTCTCCCAAAGCAGCCTGGCCTTCCAATTCCAAAAGAACTCCCAGCTGTCCTGGGGTGAGACTCCCGGCTTCTTGACCAACTTGAGGCTGGGAGAGAGAAGGCTCAGAGTTTTTAGGTCATGAACCTTCCCAAAATCCTAAGAGCTTCAACATCCACTTCCCCAGGAACCCTCTCCAATCGACACCAATACCCAATAGCTACGTGTGCACATAATACATGCACATGAAACACTCATGCATGTGCCAAACGTGTGCAGTACATGTGTGCAGGTACACACGCACCGAGATATGCTACAAACATGGATGCATGACACATGTGATGCCACCCAGTATGCTTGCAACAGCACACGCAGGCAGGCACAACGCGCACACAGGGGAACCTTGTGCCCTCTGAGGGTATTCGTGGACAGGGACCCTGTACACGGTCGGATCTGGGAGACAGGCGACTCTGCCTCTGACCAGCACTTGGGCTTCATGAGCTGGATCCAGGAGGGCGAGCAGGATACAGACAGAGACTCTCAGGAGAGGGATAGGGAAAGAGAAACAGAGACAGAGACCCTGTGCAGAGGCAGGGACAAAGAGGATACAGGTCATGGGACAGGAACACTCCGTCCCACAGGGTGACTGTGCAGATTCTCTCCTGCCCCTGGGCCTCGGTCTCCTCCCCAGCACCAAGCAGACAGCGTCCCTTCCAGCTGGCAGGCTCACCAGGAGCACTTAGCTGTGGATCTGAGAGGCAGCCGCGCGGCCAGCCTGCTCCCAGCCAAGAGCAGCACGCTGGCTTCCTGTCTTGGCTTCAGAGACGGCCCATTAACAATGAATGAGCCCCTGGGGCCGAGGTGTGGGGGCGGGGGGCTGGGGGAGCAGTGTCTGCCTCGTCCTGGGACCCATATTCCAGATCCTTTTTCAAGCCCCAGCCAAGACATCCTCCCGTTTGGCCCGACGCGGAGGGAAGCTTCCGCCAGGGGGCGCCAGCGCACCTCCTTTGTTTCCCACCCAGGGAAAAGTTTGCGGGGCTCCTAGGCTGAGAGAAGGCAGGTCGGGCTCCCCTTCACTCATTTCACAGCTGACTGGGCTTCTGCTGGGGTGCAGAACACTGCACAGGGTCACTCGCTGGTGCTGGCCACCGCGGGACGGGGCAGAAGCTGAGGGACCTCCTAGGTCTCTTTGGCCTTATCTCTACTGAGCCCCGACTCCAGGGAGCAGTGGGGTGCAATTGAGGTCCCCAGCCTCAAGCTCGCCTGCCTCTCGGAGCCGGGCCTCCAGGGAAGAGAAAGTCACCAGGTCCCTGGTGCATCTTCTGTACCGTCCTTATCGGAGTCCAAGGACAGTTTCGTTAATGACCAGGAACCTGCAGCAGTCACAGCATCTTTGTCTTGGAACTGAGGTAAAGTCTTCCACAATCTCTGTGTCCCCCCACAGAATTCTGTAGCTGAGGTTCGAAAGACATCATGGTTGATGTCAGTGTTCTCAGAGGATCACGATCGTGGAGCAGCCTCATGAACTACAGGCCGAAATGCTGCATGGGGCAGGCTCAGGGAGCAGGGACCCAAAAGCAAGCCGTGGGGGCTGGGGACAGCCTCGCTCCTGAAGGCAGGGCCACTAGGCTCAGACCTCCATGAGTCCCTGGAATGTGGCAGACACAATGTAGTTGCAGAGTCCCGCAGAAGCCAAGCTGCAGAAGCCAAGCTGGCTCCGAGGGGCAGCAGGGCCCACCGTGCAGGTCTCACTCTATGCCTGTGACCCCTCCTTGGGGACTCCGGGCAGGTTGTAGGCCACTGCAGGGCCTGTGGACTGCTGACTACATAGCTCAATGACTTGATTTTTTTTTTTTTTTTTTTTTTTTTTTTTTTTTTGAGTACTGGGCAATAAATTCTGCCACTGAGCTGCACCCCAGCCCTCAGGAGGCCCTGATCTTTAAGGCCCCTCCTAGGGTCAATAGCGCGAAGTGCGGGAAGATCTCTTGGGGTTCTGAAGGGAAGCCAGGCCCCGACCTCCCATCCCAGGGCATCCAGGGGTGGGCTACTCACAAATAACAGCAGACACTTGTTCTCACGGACAGCCCCGCAGCAGCCCAGGAAGCCGAGCAGGAAAAGCAGGCCCCCCATGGCCAGGAGGATGTAGACGCCCGTGACCAGCAGAGGGTTGGCTGCTATGATTTCCCGGAAGCCAGTGGGGTCCACCATGACCCAGATGCCGATACCTAGCAGGCAGGTCCCTCCCAGCTACAAGGAGGAGGAGGAGGAGGAGGAGGAGCAGGAGGAAGAGGAGCAGGAGGAAGAGGAGGAGGAGGTAGGGAAGGAAGAGGAGGAGGAGGAGGAAGAGGAGCAAGAGGAAGAGGAGGAGGAAGAGGAGGAGGAAGAGAGGCACACATGGAGGTGAGACTTGCTCCACACCCTTGCCCTCAGTAAGCGGCCGGCCACTTTGCCTGGCTACCGCACCCTTAAGTTTAACCAAAGTCTTTTCAGACCTACTTCCTGCCTGGGGTCCTGGAGGCCCACACCAGGTGGCCTCCACCTGCTCCTTCTGTTTGCCTTAAGTGCCAGAGCCGAGGCCCTGGGGTCACCTCATTCGCCCAGGCAGTTGCACACCGAGGCCTGGGGTGGCACGTGCTGAAGGTCACACCGCAACTTTGCGACCGAGTCCAGGCTACACAACAGGCCTCCCCAAAGCTCCACAGAGGTCTACAGACACAAGCTGAGATCCATGCTGTGCCTGTGCCATCCGTGCTAGGGCCTAGGTGACAAAGTCACTGTCATCGTCCTCAGCAGGACACTGGGCTCCCACTGTCAGACTGCAGCTGGAAAAATGTTCTCACTTATGCCTTGGTTGGCACAGCCAATATTTCTCCACATCTTAACGTGTCTTGGGAGAGAAGCAACTAGTCCCGAGAAAAGGCTGTGCCACTTAGGAGCTGTGTGACCTTAGGGGAGTGGCTTAACCTCTCTGTGCTTCTTTCAGATTAAAAGACTACAATTCCCATCTTCCAAGGAAGAAAGGACAAAATGGGTAGGAGCATGTTCAGCAGAGAACAGTGTCTGTCTCACTTGCGTGAGGCACAGAATGGCAGCGGGTCCACTGTGGTGACAGCCAGCACTTGGCACTGTCTGATCTGAGCATTGATGGTGGCTGAAATGTTTGCGTGGACCCAGAGTCACATGGAAGATGATGACTGAGGAGACATGCTGGGCCGCCTTGACAGAGCAGGGCCTGGAAGAATGGGCAAGGGACAAAAGGCCTAAGGCATGGAAGTGCTGTCTCTTAGAGCTGACTACACCCACAGCACTTGGAGGCTGATCACTGAGTCTTGGAGAGGCGAGATTCAGCCTCCAGGCTACAGGGCTGAGGAGCCATGGAGCTGGGACTTGAACCTGCAGCCCCAGAGGTCTCACTTCCGTAGGTGCCCAAGTGCATAGCTCAAGGCCGCTTGTAGCGCTGCTCCCTCCCCCTCGGCCGATGACCTCATCCTCTCCTTGTGGCCCCCACAGAGCCAGAGGCTGCACCCCAGGGCCCCTATAGCCACCCCCTGGTTCCCGGCCACTTACGAATATGAAGAAGTTGAAGACGAACATCAGATACTTCATGCAGCTCAGACAGTCGCCTTCCATGGCGCTCCACCTACAAAACCAAGGAAACCCTGCAGTGGGTGGTGGAAGAGGACGGAGGCGGCAAACCCCCTCCAAGGAATGGCGAAGTGCCAGGGTTAAGCCTTCACCCTGCTGTGTGACTCTGGGCAAATGACTCTGCCTCTCTGAGTCTTGCTGTCTTCAACTTTAGAACTGATTAAAAACAGAACTCTCTAACAGCTGGGAGGTGCCCGGTTGGGGGGCCTCTCACATGAGTGTGGTTGCAAGCCCCCAACATGGTGGGTGGGAGACCAAAGCTCAGGGCTGGGGGGACCCACCAGGTCTCTGAGTGCCCCCCCCCGCACACTCCAGCCTCGGGCCTGCCCAGGGCTATTTCTGGGTTCTGGCAAGAGGGGCACTGTAGGATCAGCAGGCACAGGTTTCCCCCTGCTCCCAGCCCTGACCTCCACCATACGTGCCCCCCAGCATCCCACCAGCCAGGTGTCTCCCCAGCACCCCTGACATGTGCACCCCAGGGTCATCTCTGCACACTGCTCTGTTCACTCTCTGTTTATTCGACTGTTGAGCACCTACTGTACACACTGAGGTCCGAGGCCATGGGGCACAGCCCTTGGCCACCCGGGGGAGTGCACAGCACCGACCACTTGAGACTATGAGGCTCATCCGCGCCTGGAGGGGCACAGGATAGACTGGAAGGCCAGACAGCAGATAAAGAAACCAAGGCCTGGGGGGAGCACACACTAAGGCCCCATTGCTGGCTGGGGCAGTGACCACTTGAGCTCCTTCCCAGGTGCTGCCCAGAGGCAGTCGCCGCCGCATCTACTGTGGGCCTGGGCAAAGGACTCTGGGAGTTTGTGCAGGTGAGGGAGACGGCTGGGGGCTTCCTATGGCTCCCACTGCCTCCCTGGGACATGGCTGGGCTCCACTTTTTCCATCCACAAGAGAAGGTTAAGTCTTACTCAAAGCGTTCTTTGTGAAGCTTATGATTATTAATACTAATAGTGAAGCACCTATCAAAATATCATTCTGTCCCATAAAGACATACAAGTATTGTGTCAGTTGGAAGTAACATAAAGACTAAAAGCTAATCCTAGCCAGTGGGGGGGGGCAGGTACTGCATGCAACTCGTGCTTCACACATACCGTCTCAAAGTTTGTTTTTTTTTATTTTTTGAGATAAGCTCTTGCTCCGCAGTTCAACTGGCCTTGAACTCCCAGTGATCTTCCTGCCTCAGCCTCCACAGGGCTGGAATGACCGGTGAGTGCCACTGTGCCTGGCTCTGCCTGCCTAGGCTGCTCCACGCTGGTGCCACAGGGTGGAAGCTAGGACCAAGCCTACACCGGAGGTCCCACAGGCCAGCAGCCACCCCCTTTGGCTCTCGACTGGCACTATCTCTTCACAGGAGATGGAAGTCCCAGAACTCCTTCACCACAACCCATGGATGGGCAGCCTTCCCAGTGGCACAGAAGTCTAGGGACCAGCAGGGGCTCAACCAGCCTTCTCCAGGTCCCAGCTGTACCCACCCCAGAACAGGTGCCCAGCAATATCTCAGGGAATAGGGCAAGGGGTCTGGAGTCCCAGGCCCTGCTCTGGAAGGCAGTGCTGCGTGACTTCAGGAAAACCACTTCCTCTCTCTGATCTCAGAGACCTCATCTGTACAGTGACAGAGCAGAAGCAGCAGCAAGAGGGACAGGCTGAGAAGTCCTGAGAAATAGGTGAGTGGTGTCTACTTGGGTGGGGTGTCCCTCCAGGCGGGACTGAGCCTGGGCGGCAGGGTGAAGGTGGCAGCTCTAAACTGGCTGCCTTTGGCTAAGATCGCCACATACCTGGCCAAGGGCTTCTCCAGCCAGTCAGGCACAGAGAACGTGCATGCCCTGTACAGGGGCTGGCAGGGTGAGTGGGGAGTGCAGAGGGCCAGGAACCAGACCCAGCTCTGCCAGCTGAGCCGGAGGGCAACCCCGTTTCCTTCCATACACCTCCTCATCAGGCATGGGCAACACTGAGTCCAGAGCTTGGCCCCTGAGAGCTCCTTCTCCCAATAGCCAGCAGGGGCTGGCACACCTCAAGCCCTTACTGAGAGCGGGGGAGTGCATAAGCTCTCAGTCCTCGGAAAGCCTGGGAGCCAGCTAACACCGTCCCATTTTCCAGGGTAGGAGAGCATTGAGCATCACACTGAGGCTCGGCGAGGTGGACTCGCTCATCCAAGGTCACACAGCAGACATGTGATAGCCACAGCTCTTCATCATTTACAACTAATGCCGAGTGCAGACCTGCTAAGCCACTTCATGTCCCACTGCACCAACCTCCGGAGCACCAGGTCCTTGTGCTGCCCACACAGGCACTTAAACTGCCGAGCTATCCCTAGCCCGGGACTGTGTTTGTCCTGGGACTGTGTTTGTTAAGTTGCTTGGAAGGTCCATGTGATGCAAAATGTGCTTCGTACAGCAGGGGCTGAGTTTGCCCAGCGTCACTTGTCACTCCCGCAGTGCCTTCTGGTCAGAGTCCTCAATCTGCATGAGTAAGTGAGTGAGTGAGTGAGTGAATGAATGGATACACAGTGGGAAAACACTGCAGCAGAGCACTGACTCAGAAACCAGAGAAATATGTGAATGCAAGTCAGAAAGAAAGGAAGACCGGAGAAGATCAACACACAGAGAGAAACAAAGCCAGAAGAAGAGCAGGAGGAGCGGACAGCCCAGCAGAGACACGGGGGCTGGGAAGAGAGAGGGGCAGCACCGCACAGCCACCTGGGCAGCCACACAGGCATCAGAGGGACTAAACTGTCTTGGTTACTTTTGTTGCTGAGACAAAAACCAAGACAGTTTAGAAGGCAAACAGGCAGTGTGGAGTCTCTTGTAGTCTCCTACTGTCACGCCTGTGGGGACTCTGGTCTGGACCTCCAGAGAGGTATCTGCCTAGAGCTTGGGCAGATGTGGTGGGCATCTCTACAGAGGGAGATTCTGGGTATCAAGATGCTTGGCTGGATTCCCACCAAAGTGAAAGCCCACCAGGGTAGATAAGGTGCAGAAGTGAACACTTCCCCTTTTTTCTTCCCATACCTATTTTGTCCTCTCTCCACTCATCCACCCACTCACATATTCCTCAGCTATCCATCTACCTATCCATCCATCCATCCCTCAGCTATCCATCCACTACTCACCCACCACCCATCCATCTATCCATTTATCCACCTATTGCTCCCTCCCTCCATCCACTCCTCTATCCATCCCTCAGCTATCCATCCATCCCTCTACCCATCCAACCATCTGTCTATCCACTCATCCACCTATTGGCTCCATCCATCCATCCATCCATCCATCCATCCATCCATCCATCCATCCACTCCTCCATCCCTTTATCCTCCCATGCACTGCCCAATGCATTGCTTGCACCCTGTGCCAGTGCTGGGCTGGGGACTGGAGATGAGTTAAGCCCATTTGCAGTGTGCACTGGGAGGTCAGAAGAGAACAGCTGGGCTCAGAGAAGGTAGCTTTAGGCTTGATTGCATTCACCTTCTTAGCAAGTCTTGCACATATGTCTGCTGGGTTCTGATAGGGTCTGAGGCCATGGGCAGCAGGGAGAGGACACCAGGCAGAGGTAACATGTGCCTCTGTTCCCAAAGTGTCTCATGAAGAGCTGCTCTGTCCTTCAGTCAGGCAGCCAAGCCCAGAGCCTGGGGAGGCTGCTAGAATCCTCCGGAGCCAGCTGGAGGATGCTGGGGGTCGACCCAGCCCTGCCATCCCTTGACAGATGGGAGCCCCGAGGCCCTGAGAGGGGCAGCAGAGAGGGGGCCAGGGTCGCGCCGTGCCATGCCGCAGGGTTCTCCCCAGCAGGCTCCCGCCCAGGCGAGACAGCTTTATTAATCTCGCCCCCCCACTGCCCAGATGGCGCAGCCCATCTGCACCAAGCAGGGTCGGGAGGGGCTCTGATTAACAAGAAGGGCTCAGTTCATAAATCACTCCTTTTGCCCCGAGCATGCTTTCTGGAGACAGACACCAAAGGGGCAGGTGGACAAAAGTCACAGAAAAGCCAGTCTCTGCTAGGAAGGCCTGGGACGAGCCCCACCAGGTGAGGGCACTGCTGTCCAGGGCAGAGCCACGCAGGGCCTCTGGGAAACCCCAGCTCTGCTCCAGGGAGCAGGAGACCCCGGTTATCCTCACCCCTCCTCGGTGACATGGGGGCCTCTCAGACCAAGCTCCCTGGGTTCCTGCGTGGGTGGAAGGGTGACACTTAACATCCATCTGGCACATCTAGCTCCTTCTCTGTCACCAGGTATTGCCAGCCTTGCACTGGGTCCAAGGCACAGAGAAGCACCACCCTCCTGCAAGACCTAGTGAGGACCAATAACCCGCGTCCTCTGACAGCAGGGCCACAGAATGCAGGGGCACCTGGAACTGGGGAGACCCGTGTCAGGTGTGGTCAAGGACGGGCCCAACCATCAGGGACCCCAGTCTCCCTCCCTCCATCTCAGAGAGCTCTGCCACATGCATGAGGTGATTGTCCCTTCCTTTTAAAAAAAAAAAAAAATTTAAAAATGTATTTGGGGACTGGTGAGATGGCTCAGTGGTCTAAAGCACCTACTTAGAACAAGCTAAGCTAAGCAAAGCACAGGGACCGTGGTTCAATCCCCAGCACCACATGCCAGCCAGCCCCGCCCCCTGGTGGGCTGAGCTGGGCACACACACACACACACACACACACACACCACACACACAAAATAAATAAATAAAAAATAAATAAAATTTAAAAAAAATGTATTTGGTACAGGGTCTCACTACGCAGCCTGGACTTGTAGTGATCCTCCTGTTTTCAGCCTCCCCAGTGCTGAGATTACATACGTGTGCCACCATGCCTGGTCTTGGTGGCTGGCTCAGTGCGCCTGGGGGCAGGGCTGGCATGGCATGTGGTGCCCAGGATCGAACCCTGGTCCCTGTGTTTGCCTAAGCAGGTGCTTAGTTCGCTGGGCTATCTCGCTGGCCCTTTGCCACTTTCTTTAGAGATGAAGCCACTTAGACACAGGCTTTAGAGCCC